TCCTGCATTTGGTGGTTATCAGTGTATTACAAAGGTACAAAACAGATTTCAGTACTTCAATAGGTTGGTATATTAACATTATATCAGTTAATGGAATTACGGTATTTAACTGTAAATTTAAGTTAAAACCGTAAAACCTAAAACGTTGCTACCGTATTTTTTACGGTAAAATTTCGGCACAGCTGCCATTTTTTTACCGTAAATTTTACGGAATTTTTTTTACAGTGTACATAATGATTGGAAGTGACTTAGAACAAGCCTAAGATATCATCATCACATCTCGCCAAATGCAATAATTCAAGAATAGTTCAACCACAGAAAACCCAATATCGGTCGAGCGTGCATATGAATATTAAGAGAGAGAGAGAGAGATTAAAATACTAGATAACATCAAAATCTTATGAAACACATTGCATTTGCCACTTGCTACTAAATAAACGTTTACTAAAACATGTGCATATTGTAAATAAATGACTGAACAATTTACATAAACTATCAAAACACCTCATTTAGAGACTACATGCACAGATTTCTACTTAAATAATATGCACACTTTATAATAATATGAACTAGGCAATGCAAAATACGTATGATTAAGTAGGAATGATTAAGTATTAAGTATAATCTCTATATAGGGCATGCAAATGATAGCTGTTTTTATCTAGGCTATTTGTTTATACCACATTTTTTTAGTGTTGTTGTGAAAATGATTGATATTTCTTGTACTATAAAATACCGTGAATGTGTTTGTTTGTGAGCTGTGATGCTGTGCTCGTGGCTTACCGGTAACTGCAGGTGCATCCGCGCTTTACTCCAGGTGTCGGTGAACCGGACTGCGCTCGAGCTCAAACTCTCAGAGCGGGGCGGGGCTGTTTGGGTGCTGTCACGTGACAGAGAACAGCCAACCAGAGAGCGGCTACATAAACCAGTGTTATTTTACTCCTGCCTCTTCTAGTTTGGATTATTGATTTGTTTCCTGCGCTATGAAATGCACTGTGATGCTTTGACAATATTGCTAATTAAGCCTGAAAGCACATTGAAAATCTGGTATTTTTCATTCAGCCCAACTCAGCAAACCAAACGAAAGTTTTAGGGTTTAAAAAAATAATTAAAATAAATTAAAATAAAATAAAGAAATACAAAACAAATATTTCAGATTCTGCACTTGTAGGTAAGATCTGTTTTTTTTTTTGTTTTTTTTTTACATTTTCATTTTGTTATGCTCATAATAAAACGTATTGTAACGAACAATTGTGTATTAAATGATAAAATAATGCGAAATATTGCATTTTCGTAGTCATCAGATTTTGGGATTATTCTAAATATAAACAGGCTATAAACACGAATATAAATATGCATATGAATAATTAAAAGCCATTGTTTTTTGCCACATTACTGGTGTAAAAACCTTGAAGTGTCGCAACTAAAACATATAAACATTATAGGTTATTCTAAATGAAATACTGAGCAATTTACATAAACTACAAAATCACCTTCAGACCCTCATTTAGAGACTACATATGTACAAAAGACTAAAGACACATAGTTCAGATTCTGCAGTATTTTATTGGAATTCTTTCAGTTTGTTGAACTGATAATAAAAGTTATATCAGTAACTTATATATATATAACTTATTATATTATATATAAAGAACAATTGCGTATTAAACTAGGAAATAATGCGAAAGAGAAGCATTTCACTAGTCATCTCTGACCGATATAAATATACATAATTTAAATATAAATATCGATGGATTCTAGAAAACATTAAATAATCGTGCGCACTGATTTGATAACGGCATTGACCAATTATATCCAGGCGCTCAGCTCTTTGACCAATGAGCTTAACGCTGCCTTGACGGAAGTTTCACGCCTGCACTGTTGCATTATGGGTATTGTAGTCTTCCGCCAGCACGAGTTCAGGGCGCTTCCGAAGAACGAGCGACAATTAAAAACTACAATTTCCTCTGACGCGGCCACGTGGTTTGACGCGCGGTTGCATCAGCGTAAATACTCGGTTCACAGACTGGTTCAGTCGCTTCCAGCGGTGTCTGTCTGACCTGTCGAAGTAGATTCATTCAGGAGCGTCCTAAACTGACAAGAGGGTCAAATGAAACTGTATATCGCCGACGGAAACCCGCACTGTATTAAAGTGCTGGCGGCGCTGGAGCTCACTGGAGGGACATGTGACACAGCAGTGGTCAGCCACGAGGGTGAGAGACATTATCAGACTCTGAGGCGAACTTTCTGTTGATGTTCTGCTGCTTACCATCCAGATATCGAGTCTGTTAGTTTCAGTCTGACTGATAACAGCATGTTTTTGATAGTAATGCAGCTGTCTATGAATATAGCAAACAAAAAAGCACCATAGTATATATATATATAACATCATATATGTGACCCTGGACCACAAAACCAGTCATAAGGGTCAGTTTTTTTTAAATTAATGAATAAATACGCTTTCCATTGATGCATGGTTTGTTAGGATAGCACAATATTTGAAAATCTGGAATCTGAGGGTGCAAAAAAATCTAAATATTGAGAAAAGCATCTTTAAAGTTGTCCAAATTAAGTTCTTAGCAATGCATATTACTAATCAAAAATTAAGTTTTGATATATTTACGGTAGAAAATGTACAAAATATCTTCATGCAACATCATCTTTATTTAATATCCTAATGATTCTTGGCATAAAAGAGAAATGGATAATTTTGACCCATACAATGTATTGTTGGCTATTGCTACAAATATACCCCAGCGACTTAACACTGCTTTTGTGCTCCAGGGTCACATATTTGTATTTATGTTAATACCACAGTGTGTATTAAAGCACCCTGTTTATGTTATTACTGTGGTACATTCTAGTAGTTTTGTATCAAGTCTGTTAGTTTCAGTCTGACTGATAACAGCATGTTTTTGATAGTAATGCAGCTGTCTATGAATATAGCAAACAATAAGTACCATAGTTTATAACATCATAGTACTATATACCATATTTGTATTTATGGTAATACCGCAGTACTATAGTGTGTATTAAAGCACCCTGTTATTACTGCGGTACGTTCCAGTAGTTTTGTATGGGTGTATTTGCTCAGTGTGTTTTTGTGCTTTTACATGTGTTTCTTTGTGTTTTCGTCGAACAGAGAAAGTGGTCCCTCACTTCACTCGCCCTGTGTCACCCGCTCTGCTGTTACCCGATGGCCAGCATCTCTTCAGCCCCAACAGCATCTGCCAGTGAGTGCCCGACCACACGTTACATTAGAGTCATTACACTCCAATGAAGACATTTTTATTGGGAAGTAAATGTCTGTACATTTTTTTTTTTATTAACATTTTTTTTTTGTGATCAACTTTTTAGAAAAAAAAAAAAATATAATTATTTTTAAA